AACAAACGAATTATATTGAGACTGATTAGAAAAAAAAACATTTATGCATTGAAAAAATATGCCAAACCTGAAATTTTGTTTATTTGTTTATTTCTATATAATCATCACATGAAATAACTCTCTCATCGTCATCACTCAATTGTTCGCCACACAAATAAATTCCGAAACGCATTTTGCCGTTGAATTCTCGTGCGATAGTTTGCAGTGGTTCCGTTGTTTTTTCTCCGGTACTTTGATCGATGCAAATCATTTGACAGCGCGTACATGAACCAGTCGTCGTTAATTTTATACTGCCAATTCTTATGGATTTCCATTCGAACTCTTCCAATGGCAATGGTGATTCGATTATCAGATTCGCCCTGAAACGGTCAACTGTATTTTGAAGAATTTTTTCAGGCACATTGTCTAATTCAATCCAATCGTCGACTTTTTTCGTCAACCGAAGCAACGTTTATCAATAGGAATTGTGCTTGATATGGCCAGTTCAGTTGATACACTATTTTTAGCCATGCGTTTATCGTTCAGGTTTTGTTGAATCAATCTCATCCCAGAAATGCATAGAACATCGTCTAACCATTTGGCCACTTGTTCGCCGCAATCGATACCATCTATTCGATCAGCACACACTTTACTTTGGCAAAATGATGATATAACCCGATTGTCATTCATATCTTGGCACAATGGAATTTCAACTGTTTTGGCATATGGAAAACTTAATGCAAGCGTATTGTTAGATTCATTAATTGTCGGTTGAATCAAGCACAATGTTGTATCTGATTTTTGTGTCAGTGCGATACCGGTTGAGCGCACAATCAACCATTCTCGATTTATCATCCACGTACTATCAACACGAAACGGCGCACATGTTTTTATTGGATATACACAGATCTCATGCAATTTTATCGCATTCGTTAATCTCGTTCGTTTCTGGATTTTCGGCTTGATGTTATTATTGTTTGTTAACTTGAATTGATTTTTACTCGTTACATTGGACATGACTTGTTTGAGTTGTAAATCGGAATTTTGAAAAGAAATTGATTTTGTAACGGATTCCAAATTTTTTCCACGCTCTTTGTTGCAGAAACAATCTTTAATGAGGCTGACAATGGCATCAATATTTTTGACCGTTGTCATATATCCCGTCGAAATTCGAACTGAACCAGTCGGGATACCATCGATCAAGTCAATGTTATCACCACAAATATGACCAGCCTAAGACACAAGTAATTAGAAATAAAAGAAAGTGAAAATTTCTAGGAGGGAGACACCCGCGAATCCATTCACCTTTTGTGTCGGATTTGTACGATTAGTATGATTACAAAATTTTACAAAGATTCACATTCGATTCAATTTTTGATTTAAATTGCTATAATTCCAATGATTTGCACAGATTCACAGATTCGTAAAGATCCACAGATTCATTAAATATTCACATTTTTGTGTTTTTTCTTTTGACGTACAAACGTATGTTGATTTTATAGAAAATAAATATGCTAGCAAATATAAATTAAAATAAAATTCAATTATTTTTGTTTATGCAATGATTTCATTTTTACCGACTTTTAACAATGGAATAAAATTTAACTCAACAATCAACATATTTTATATTATTGACAAAGTGACTTTGTCAAAGTCCCTATGATTCATGAGATTCTTCGGATCCTTAGGATTCTTCGGATTTGTGAGTTTTGTGTTTTTTATTATAATTCTAATGGAATCGTTGGAATCAATGAAATTATACAATTGAGTATTTTAACATAGATTTTTCATTTTGAATTGGTGTCTTCCCCCTAGGAAAATTTTGTGATCGGAATGAATAAAACTAAGCTCACTGCAGCGAGTTCAATGTAAAATTATAAATTACCTTAAAATGAGCTTTCAAAGTTTCGTCAGACAATCTAAGTTTACGTTGACATGCACCTGGATTACAAAAACAGCCCGTTCTCAAGTATATGTTGTGCAACTGTGCCATGTACGCCACCTACTACAAATCAAAATTATACATTTTATTGATTGACTTCAATTTTCTATTCTCGTTGATTTACTGTCAAGAATATTAAATATCAAAAATGCTATAAAATTGAAAATCGTTTGTAATAAATTCAAATATTACCTGTGAGAATCCAACAAATCGCCCATCCTCATGTAAAACATTAAAATTACGGATACCACCTTGATTGTCGATCGACTTAAAATCGGTATCGTGGTAAAAATGAATGACATTGGGTGTTTTTTTCCTGAGGTTTTTCAGTTTCGGACTTTCGCCAAAAAAGTGAAGAGCAAAAAAAATAAACGAAATTTGTTGTTCAAATGACACCAGACAATCGTAAGTATATTCAATTTTATAAATAATTGTTCGCAATTCAATCGTATTTACATATTTTTTGTTTAAATTTTTTTAACATAGTTTTTTTTACTCTTGTAAAACTTTGAATTTTCTAGAGTTTCACAATTCGAATAAAAAATAAACTAATAAAAATGAAACCCCATTGTATTTGTTACAGAGTTTGAGTCAACAGTGGAATATTCGAGTGAAGGACCCCCCACAAGATACCATCGAGTTCAATCGAGTTAAAACTTGGACTTTTATTTTATATATTAAAGATCTATGTGCCATGGATTAGTTGGAATTTTAATAAATAATGATTTTTTTTAACGATTAATGACATTTTCACCCACAAAAAACTCCGTTTCAATTTTATATTGAGAAGAAATAATAATAAATTTCATACCTCTCATGAATGATATCCCGCTTACGATGCCATCTCGATCCGTTACTCAAGCTAATTTTAACTGTTCCACCACCGTAATATTGTTTATTCAGCATTTGTTCACCTCTTTTGCTGACAATCAATGCCTAGGGATAATCAGAAGAAAAAAAATGGAATTAATGGAAATTAATCAACATGTAATGGAATGTAATGGAAAATGAAATTGAAATAATCTAATCACAGTGTAACACTTACACACTGTGTGTACTTTTTACTTTCAGTATGGCGATCACATTAAATTTCACAACTTAATGGCTAAATGCGCTTATGCAAACAGATTGCCTAAAATTAAGATTTGGTAGTGGTTATTTGGTAAATTGGATCTGTGAAATGAAAAAACTTAATTTAATTTTAATTATTTCAATTGCATATAACTCTAGGTAATGGGACAGAATGGAAAAATTATCTGAGGAATGGACCAGGAATTGTGGAGTAATGGAATAGTAATTTTTAAGTAAGAATGCCTTGGTACTTACGCCCAAACCTGGAATATAATTAATTAAAAAAATGCATAAGAAAAATATTAAAATGAAACGAAACAAAGACACTATTTACACGTATTTACATAAAATTTCATTCAGAAAAGAAAAAACCTCATATAAATTTAAAAAAGAGAGTCAATAATACAAAATTTAAAACAAAAAACAAATCATAATAAAATAACACGATCATAAAAACACACATAGTCAGTAAATGTTTTCTTGCTTCTTACCGGTTGGATACCCGAAAATTTTATAAAAAGAAATGCAAACAAAATCCGGTTGCCATTTGTTCAAATCTAAATAGTTGGTTGAAACAAAAGCAGCTGCATCCAAGCAAACATATCGATTTGATTCTTCGATTGATGTGCTTCCACTGTTTGTTTGGAAGCGATGAATTGCATCCAATGGATATTTAAAGCCATTGAAATTACACTGTGCCGGAAAAACAAACAAAGAATTGCCGTTGTGTTGTGATGAATTGTGGAATTTTCCACACAAAAAATCATCTCGTTCAATATAGCAGATATTTTTTGTTTTTACAATTTCACGCATTCCCAGCACCGATGTATGATTATCACGTAAATATAAAAACGAACTAGTAGATACATTATCAAACCAAAATGTTTCAGCTACTAATTTCAATGGAGCTGTCGCTCCACTTGTGAAAATAATCGAATATTCATCGGAAGTTGTATTAAATGATTTTAAAACTTTATATCGCACTTGATCGATCAAATCTTCAGTGAATTTACTGGTATGGGGATTGCAGTGAATGTTTGAAATCAAGTTGGAATAAATTTGATGCATTTGCTGGTCAGCATATTGCGCAGCTCCTGCATGATCGAGATAGTGAATGTCTAAAATGTTGGCAAAGAAAAAAATGTTAAAATAAAGGACCCAATTGCAATTTGCAATAATAATAAGACGCTTCAATATTCAGAAAAAAAGTTGATATGTATTCTATTACTTGATTATATAACAAAAATAAACACTAACTCAAATTTAACTCAAAAAATTACCTTTCAATCGTTGAAATTTGTGTTCAATGCAATTTTGTTCGTCGGTCGAATATCCACTTCGATAATTTTTCTGTCAGACATTCATGTTACTTCACTCTATACACGGAATCTGTTTCTTTAAAATAAACGAAAATTTCTGTGTTTTTGGAGAATGTTTGATAGCCTCGGTATATTTGCGATTACTAGTGTTGAGTTAGTTCCGAAAAAAGTCGAATACGATTTAAACATTCATGTGGGGCAAAATAAGGTAATATGCTTCATACTACTACTACTTGCGTGAAGTAACAAATGCGAAAAATAAACATCTATTGAATGACTAAAACAACAGCAACAACAATTTTTAGTTGACGTAAGTTGATGATCGAATACTCGATTGCCGCACATTTACAACCAAAAATATTTTCTACGTATATGCTTATCGCATTTCTTCACCCATAATAATAATTGATAAGCATGAGTGAGCACAGCATTGAATTTTTAATGCTGATTGGCGCATAATGTGGCAGAGATCGTGTAAAATTCATTCATGTCATTCACAATAGAATACCGTGACTTGTGTTATTATTTACACAAAATACACATCAATTTAAATTAAATGAGCGATATCCACATATCTTTCTTTCGTAAAATTACACATTTCACATTGAAACGAAATTGGAAAGAAAATGTGCATTTGTTCGTATTGTTGGAATATGGAATTCTAATTGAAAAAAGTATGAAACTTTTATTTTGTTTTTCAACATTAATACACTTTATTGGTATCAAAAATACTCATATACGCTGGGGGGATTCCGCGCGTATTTATGTACCAAAATTTAACTTCATTCTTAAAATCTCATAAAAATTCAAATATCTCACCGTATCTGACAATATCCGTAAGTATTCACCGATACCCACCATGTAGGATACTTCAAATTTTGTCGAATATTTTGACATTTTTAGAATATGGGTGAATATGAGATAATAATGAATGGTGGTGAATTTTTGGCGCTGCAGACCTATTTATAATAGGTGAATTATTGGGACAGCTTCTAAGCTGTCATGGTAGTTGTTTGTTACATGTGTGTAAGTTTTTGCATTACAAAGCAAAATTGAAATGTGCCATTTGCAATGGAACGGTTCTGGCGTGAGTATCAAAACTTCTACGAATATAAAATTCCAAAAATTATTAAAGATATTTTGGCTGTCTGTGCAATCGATAGAGTTGCATTAAGTAATTTAAATGAACAAAGTATAAAAGAGATTGAACAAATAGTTAATCAGAACAAATCAATATATTTTTTAGTATATAGAAGCTGTCATAATAATTCACCACTTCTTCATTCCCTGTTCTTGTCAAGTTCAACATTGTCGGTATTGCAGTTCAGAAAATCTCAAAATATCTCCCAAAAAACGTAAAGTTGTGTTAACATCTCTTGAATTTGTTGAAATCCCCCGAATTTGTTCATATTTATTCATATTTAAGAGCGCGGAATCCCCCTAGCATATACGTATTTCGGAAACAATGCTTCCTTCTTCAGTGAGTTAGATGATGTTAGTTTGTTCTTTTGTGATGATGTTAGTTATTTAAAAATACACGTAAATCACCAAATTTCATACAATGGAATTCTACATCGAGATAACCGATATCGTCATGACGTATTTGCCTTTTTGAATGCATTTTCCTTTGGATTTGTTTTGCTACTTGTTTTGGTGTCGTTTATCGGCTTCTTTTCATGGCGATGACTTGCAGCGAAAGTGAAACGTGAAACCAAAATTGATTTTCTCGCATGAAGTGAATTATTTTGTGAAGCCATAAAAACGCATGCAACCAGACCATGCCAAAATACAAACCAGAATAATCGCCTTACATTCAGTCTCTTATTGAACTTCGGATATATCGGTTTCATTGCTTCTTTTACAATGGTTGACGGTAAATTGATCAAATCACTATTTTCTCTCATTTTGTTGAAATCAGTTAAAAATTTCCAAAGAAAAGACCAAATTTAATGGGTTTTTTCTTCTTGTGAGGTATACAGTTACTGGTGTTGCAAAGCGTGGAGGCTATAGATATGAAGATGGAACACGATACATCGGAGATTGGAATAACAGAGGTCAAAAGCACGGAATGGGTTCGCTGATTTTGGCAGGTGCATTCGATTGACTTATATTTTGGCTCTAAAGAAAACATTGATCGAATATTATATTTTTTTGTCGTTCAGATGGAACGCGATATGATGGAGCCTTTTTAAACGGCCTTTGCAATAGATTAGGTGTTATGACTTTTTCGGACGGTGCAAAGTCAGTTTAAAATATAGTTTTATTCATTTTTCTTTGATTATTTCTCAGTGATGGTTTGATATTCGCAGCGTCTGTACAGCATTACTGCCTAGATGTTGATTCGATGCATTCACCGCATACCGCATGCGCAACACAGTTTTTTGTACCACACACACAGCGGCGTGCGGTGAACGCATCGAATCAGCATCTGGGCAGCAAATCTATCGCTATTCAGACAGCAAAAAACCATCACTGTTATTTCTTCAAGGCTAAATTTTTTTCTAATCGAACAATCGGTTTCAAATTATTGATATTTTTTCTTGTATTAAATTGCCAATTTTTGCCAACTTCTTGTATTCACATATAACATTTTTTCGTTCAATTCAAAGGTATGAAGGTGAATTTATGAAAGGCTGGTTTCATGGCCATGGAATATTCTGGCGAACAGACGGTATGAAGTTCGAAGGTGAGTTACATTCATTATTAAAATAGGCAGCCTTCTTAATAGTTCACAATAAATCGGTTTCATAAAATTCAAAGGAGAATTTCGTGGTGGGCGTATCTGGGGACTAGGACTGGTGACATTCAGTGATCATACACATGGTACGACCTTATTATTTAATTAAATCGACGATGTTGTTTTGTTCTGATTGTTTGAATGTTTAAATTAGGTTTTCCACGTAATGAGGGCTTTTTCCAAGATTGTCGCCTGATTCGAAAGAAACGATGCCCGGAAGTGGTCCAAAAAGCGCAAACAGTTGCCCTAATGGCACGCGCGCAATGTGATACATCTGGTATTTGATTCAACTTGAAACTCAATACCAAATAGGTACTCGTACATGCCTTATATTTTAATTTAATTAAAATATTGATTGCAATGTGCTCTCATGTAAACAAAAAAAGTAATGAATAAAGCAATGTCAAAATTTGAATTTTCGCCGCATTTTATTTGACTTTTCGCTGTCATTCGTCAAATGTCAAAGCAGCTGGTTTGACAGTTCACCACTCGACTACTTGTCGCAATTTCACAATAAAAAAAGTGTTTTCATTTGGAATGAACAGCATAGGAATTTTCATTTTTGTTTTATATCAATGATTGAAAAAAGATTACAAATAACGTAAAAAAAATGGACCAGTGGCTAAAAAAGGGTTTGGCCGAATGTTTGGGTTTTGATGTGCCTGATGACATGATTAAGTGAGTATTTCACAATGTTTTTTTTTTTTAATTAAAATTTGCCACGATTCATTTGTTAATTTATCACATTTATCACCCGACAAAGGTATGTGCTAACCTTAAAAGAGGAAAACACAATCGATGAATACTTTGAAACACTGTTAGATGTCTCGGTGCATCGTACATTTATAGACGAGTTCAAAAAGCGTGCTCTCCCAAAAAATGCGAAAAATAACAATAATAGAAACAAAGGCAACCAAAATAAATCGAATGTGTTGAAGCCAGAATATGAAAAGGTGTCATCGGAAAAGAGAATTGCAAAATCATCAAATACCCAATCAAACTCGATTGCAACGAATGAAATCACAAAGAAGAAAACAAAATATGTAAATTTGTATGGTGAAAATGGAAAAATGAATGATGTGATTACGTTGAAAGGTCGCCATTCATGTAATTGTGAGGCCTCAAAACACAAATTGATTAATAATTGCATTCAATGCGGTAGAATTGTTTGTGATCAAGAAGGGAGCGGTCCATGTTTGTATTGTGGTAATTTAGTGTGCACAGATGATGAACAACGAATCATTGAATCATCATCGCAAACTGGCGAGAATTTGAAAAATTCATTGCTGAAGCAAGGTCGACCAAAAGGATGGGAAGAGGCCTTAGCTATGAGAAATCGTCTACTCGATTACGATCGAACAAGCGAAAAACGAACGACCGTAATTGACGATGAAAGTGATTACTTTCGAACAAACTCGGTTTGGTTATCCGATGAGGAGCGAGCCAAGTTAAGGAAAATCGAAGAGAAAATGAAGCTAAAAAAGCATGCAAGTCGACGTGATCAAAAGATCACCATCGATTTTACCGGTCGCCAAATGATCGAAGAAGCTGCGATGAGCACTGAATTCGAAAATGAAATTTTGAAAGAAATTAATGACACATTCACACATTCCAACCAAGGACTTTATTCGACCGATCAACATTTCGGCATGAATTTTGATAATTCAGAAGATTGCGATCCAAATTTATCTGTTCCGGCGCCAATCGTAAGAAATTTAAGAAAATACCCAAGAATTTTCAAAGACTTAAACTTTCTTTCTTCCTTTCATTCTATTAGTTTGACGAATCGGTATTGATCAAAATCAATTCACACAGTTCGAAATATGATGGGGTCTATAATCGGGTTCAAGATAAAGAACTGCTGGAAGTTTCGGATATGAAGAAGTGCATGTCAATACATCAACCATGGGCTTCGTTGCTTGTGGCTGGAATTAAGAAACATGAGGGTCGTTCTTGGTACACATCACATCGAGGTCGATTATGGATTGCAGCAACCGCCAAAAGTCCAGATCCAGAAGAAGTGAAAATAATGGAGAATTTCTATCGCAAACTTTATAATGGTTCGTCATATAATGTAAGAGACGGTATATCTTTATTTAATCTATTTTGATTTCAAATTTTCCATACAGATGAATCCATCGAATTTCCAAAACAGTATCCAACTGCAAGTTTATTGGGATGTGTTTTAGTTCAAGTGAGTTTTTCATGGTATTTTTCGACTCTTCAATATGTATTTTTAATTCTTCTGCAGGATTGTTTACCACAAGAAGAATACCGTTCAATTCATCCAAATGGTGAATCGGAAAGTCCATACGTTTTTATTTGTTCCAATCCACAAGAGCTTCCCGTCAAATTTCCCGTCAGAGGTTTACACAAGATATGTGAGTAAAGCATATTTTTGAGAATTTGATTTTTCAGTAAACTATAATTTTTGCCATTCATCTCTAGATAAATTGGAAGATCCAATTCATATTGCAGCAGTCAAATCATTGCAACGCATGACAAAGAAGAAGGAAGAAGAGGATAAATAATAAAATGTTTGTATTGAATTGGTTGAAATTAAAAAAATAAAATAAAAACAAACCTTTGAAAACAGGCCAAATTTTGTTGAAATGTCTTTTTTATTCTTTACATTGACTTCATGTCAATCAATTGTAAATGAGATTTTTAACGACAAAATAAATGATAACAGCTATTAATTTGCGGCGAAAAGTATTTTTGTGCGGTAACTTGCCATGTGATACCTATTGAATAGTAAGCGAATACCAATCGTGATTGAATCGATAGGCGTTATTTGGCTATTACAAGGAGAGTTTATATGAAACTCTCGGAGACTGAGTATATTGCACACAACAGTAAAAAAATATAATGCGATCAAGAAGCACACAACAATGAAACTTGTTCAAAAAATATTAAAGGCAGAATCTTGAAAAAAGAACATGTGGATTTTTGAATTGTTTCACTCTTGCGTGTTCAAATTTTTCGATTCGTTGTCCGCATAGCATTATTCAAGTTTCTATCTTCTATGTGCATATTATTTGAGTCATGATTTTTCTCAGCCATTCAATTATGCAATGAACAACGAGAAACCATTAAAATGCTATTGATTGCAATAAACTGAAAATGAATACTATGGAAAGTAATAATAATTGTATTTATTCAATTATTTGCGGCAATCGTGATAATTGCTCAATTGAATTAATGAATGAGAATGATTCAGATAAGTTGCACCGAGAGTAACTGTTTCATTAAACATAGATTCATTAAACATTCACATCAAAATTGCAATAAAAAACTTTTTATGTTCAGTTTGTTTTAGTTTGAAGCTGTATTTCAATTAGCTCTATGGCTGGATTCGATAAAAATGACATGCATGCATACTTATTTTTCACAGAATATTCAATATAAATAAGAGAATTGGATACAAAATTTAAATTGTGTTTGCAAACATTTGAATATGTTGAACAAACAGTATATTTTATAGTATACCTATAATTTACGCTTTAATAACAAGGATTTTTTTAATTGCTTTGTTTAATAAAAGGAGAGCGGTATGTTTATGAGCAATGTGCATTTTCCAATGCATTTTCGCATATTCGATTGGTGATGTGCAATGTATTGTTTGGTGAAACTCGTACTCGAATTAAAATACTTTTTGTTTTTCATAAAAAAATGTATACGTACAAAACACTTCTTTCGAAGTTCCCACTGTGACGCAATACTGTAAATCTAAAACTGGTCTGATATAAATTTTCAGTGGCGCGTTCGTTCAAATACATACAAATATTAATATTGCGTCGCCTCTTTTACCTCAAGAGAACGATAACATGTAAACAACACGAAAATAATAGAATTCAATGACGTCTTTTGTTTGTGTTAGACTTTCAAAGGCAACGCAATATTAATATTTGTATGTAATGAACGAACGCGTCACTGAAAATTTATATCAGACCAGTTTTAGATTTACAGTATTGCGTCACAGTGGGAACTTCGAAAGAAGTGTTTTGTACTTATATCAATAGTTTTTTTAGTAATCTACGATGAAATTCTAATGCTAAGTGTGTTGAGACCTGATTTTATCGTAAAATAAATGTCAGATTCGGTTTTCTCCCCCCAGTACCAATTTTCCTAGCAATCGAATAAAAACAATTTTTTCCCGAAATATTATTCCAAAAGAATGGTTTCAAACCGAAAAATCTACAAAAAATTGAACTAATTTCTCAAAACGGTTACTCCTCGGGTCCGAATTATGTAAAATCAGTTGTCAAAGTGAACAAACAAAGTAAAAACATAGTACATTGCAGTTGATTACTAAGAAATTAAAATATAGGTGGCCGCTCAAGTTCACACTTTTACCAATTTTCACCAATAAAAGAATGTTGTCGTTTCAAAATGTGCATATCGGCTCAAAATTGAGTGCGCTTTCGATCTATGAGGAAAAAATCGAAGCAAGACATACATTTTTTCAAGATAAATGACGATTAACTTCGATTTTCATCGATTTTTCCCCATTTTTTGAGGTCATAATACTATTCAGATATAACCTTTTACGCTGAATTTTTTTTTTAAATTTCTTTATTGCTTCATCAAGATGACCTTAATGACTTTCCAATAAGCTAAGAATGACGTGATTCTGTTTAAAAACACCCCGTATATCTGTGATCAAAAATAAACGAAAAATTGAAAATTGGCCGAAAAAAAATTTCAACTTCGGGGTGCGATTTTTTTTAAAACGAATTTTCCCAGATATGACACATACGCCAAATCATCACATATTTGGTCCCCAACAAACGCCCAGTTTTTTGATTTTTTTCATAGACAAATTTTTTTTAAAATTTGGATTACGTAAAAAAAGTCATGGTCATTTTTCGCCGAAAATGTCACATAACACGCCACCTGGTGGACATTTTTGAAAAAAATTCCATTTTGACTTCGGATCCAGAAAGGTGAGTCGTATAAATCATCGTTGTACCATGATGTACCATCGTCGAAAATTTCAAAAGCACATGTATTCTCAGTTTTCCATCTACTTTCAATAAAAATTGGTTTCAAAACGTTTTTCAAAAAGTACGGAAAAAAAAGCAGACAAACAAACATATCATCCGGCCAATTTTGAGGTTTTTGTCCATTTTTGGCCAATTGACCATATCTCGTCCACTTTTCAACCGATCGTGATGATATTTTTTTTTTAACATTATCTACGCAGTCCTAGATTCCGAATATGTCAAAAAATAAATTCGAAAAAAGCATGTCGGTGGTCAAAAATCGAGAAAAAGGAATTTTCAGCGATTTTTTCAAAATGCCACCTGGCGGCCAAATTTTGAATTTTTTTTATTTTTTTTTTGCGGATTCTTAATTTGGTTTCCGAGCACTACTAAAATATCCAAAGACCCCTTCCCAAAATTCAGCGGTATTGATTTTCATTTCTTTAACTTATATATAGAGTGACGCAAAATATACATATTTCATCTAGGGGGTAACCGCGCTTTTAAATATATAGAAATACTAGCATAGAAATACTACCCAAGCACTAAATTTATTCTTCCGATTCTTCTATATTTTTTTATATATTGGACGGTTACTCGCTCGCTTCGCTCGCTCGTAACCTTACCCTTTAATATTAAAATGGAATTTACATCCGTAAGTCTAACTTTTCCGCACTGTTTCCAAATTTCTTCCTCTACCGAATGAATTTTTATTCCCCAAAAGATACTACTGTGTCCAAAAAGTAAGGTGAAATTGAAAATATTTTGGAATAGCTTTATTTATTCAGAAGTCCCACTTCAACATTCTGTACGTTTCCGCAGCAGAAATTTCATTCCGCATACAAAATTTAATGAAATATCTTTACCCCAAATGATCTTTAAATTTGTTTTTTGAAAAACGACAAAAACTTTTATATCCGCAAAGTCCATCAAATATCAAAGATTTTAAAATAAAACTCAATTTGTTTTAAGTATATTGCACCTTTATGACTTTGCCAATTTAATTTCAAGAATTCTATTATTTCCAAATGATCTGCCATTGTGAACATCGAAAAATAAAAAAAGTCTTGATGTAAACGGAGAAGTTCAACTCATAACCTCATGGAGATATTGACTTGAAATTTGGCATAGATGTCAAAGACAGTGATGCCAACATATAGCAAGAAGGCCTTAAGGCCTAGGTTATCATCGATTACATTTCCCGCAAATTTTGAATTACAATTTCACCTTACTTTTTGGACACAGTACTAATTCAATAACAGTAAAGTTTTTTGGCGTATAAGTAATTCAAAATATGTGAAGTGTGTGTTGTACGGAAAGATGAAATCACCAGAAATGTACCTGTATGATACCGCAATGACATGAAACTTTTACAGGCTATTTTCTTTCAAAAAAAAAAAAATAACATTCTTAACGTTTGAAGCAAATTTCAATACAAATTGAAGGTACCTTCTATACAAAGTATTGTACAAACCCCACTTTTGGAGATTTTTTCAAATATCGATTGTTTCTCAAAACTAACGTCAGATTCGGTTTTCTCGTAACAAAAATTTTCGACGCTGGATGAAAGAGGTGTAATGCGCTCAATAAGCGTAATGCTTTGTTTGCCGAACTTCGTATAGACAGTGCCATCTATATATAGAATGGGATATTATTTCACAAGTTTGAGAATGAGCGCATATGTTATTCCAAAAATTGTTGAAAAATAATTTAATAAATTGTTTCATTTTTTTGTTTCGAAAGTGAAGTTAGCACAATTAGCATTAGATAATTTCTATTTAAAAAAACATAAATTTATATGCGTTTTAATTTAACTTAAAAAGCCTCGGGTGTAGAGTGTGTAGATCTTGTAGAAATGATTTTGTTAAAATCTCCATACGTAAACTCATAAGTGTGAGTGTGACATTTGACAGATAGATACAAAACGTAATGTTATTGTTCTCTTACATACTTACCATACACTCGTGCGAATTATTCTGTTCTGTTAAGTTCGTTTATTCCGTTCATTTATTTTATTTATATTCTTAATCTCGCAATCACATCGCAAAATTGCGTAAAAATGGCAGATTCTATTAACAGTTTTATTGATCTTGACACCGGCTGTATAAAATATCCTGATGGAGACTTTACTTTTATATTAAACTTTATTCTGTTTAGTTCGCCAAAAGATAGAGTGAGGGCGTTAGTGTGACAGATTTCATATAAAAAAGCTACTGTATTAGAGATCTTCTGGATGACCAATGTTAAAAGCAATGGTTGACAATGATGGGCGGTGTTAAACTGTGGTGAATCCTCCGTAAACCATGGTAAATCATGTTTTGACAGTTTTTACCATGATGGTCGACTCGTGAACCGCGTTAAATCATTTTTTGACATTTCTACCATGTTAAATGGTTATAGACTACGATGTACCATCATATCCAACCTCAATATACGTGTTATATGGTGTTATACCACGATGGACCGTGATGTCCAACCTTAATAACCATGTTAAATGATGTTAAAATCGCTTCAATCGTCAAAATTTTACATTTCAAACCATTTACCACGGTCCATCATGGTCGGCCATCACGGTTTTCCACGGTCCATTCTCACCTTTTGACAATAAAATGTGCAAAATTTAGGCAA